ACAAGAATAAGGTTTCTCCCCAGTGTGAAAATGACTGTGTTTAGTCAGAAGATTTCGATATAAAAAATTCTTATTACATAAACTACAACATGATTGTGTTCCGCTAAATGATATTTTTGTGAAAAACTCTTGTTACATATACTACAAGAAAAGGGTTTCTCACCAGTGTGAACACGAAAGTGTCTATTTAGATCACTTTGATATAAGAAACTCTTATTACATATACTACAAGCATAAGGTTTCTCCCCAGTGTGAACACGATTATGTTCATTCAGTTTACTTCTGTTTGAAAAACTCTTATTACATATACTACAAGAATAAGGTTTCTCCCCAGTGTGAACACGATAATGTTCATTCAGTTTACTTCTGGTTGAAAAACTTTTATTACATATACTACAAGAATAAGGTTTCTCCCCAGTGTGAACACGATTATGTTCATTCAGTTTACTTCTGTTTGAAAAACTCTTATTACATATACTACAAGAATAAGGTTTCTCCCCAGTGTGAACACGATAATGTTCATTCAGATGACTTCTGTTTGAAAAACTCTTATTACATATACTACAAGAATAAGGTTTCTCCCCAGTGTGAACACGATAATGTTCATTCAATTTACTTCTGTTTGAAAAACTCTTATTACATACACTACAAGAATAAGGTTTCTCGCCAGTGTGAACACGATTGTGTTCATTCAGATGACTTCGATGTAAAAAACTCTTATTACATAAACTACATGAATAAGGTTTCTCACCAGTGTGAACATGACTGTGTTTAGTCAGAAGATTTCGATATAAAAAATTCTTATTACATAAACTACAAGAATAATGTTTATCAGTGTGAACATGATTGTGTTTCGTTAAATGATATTTTTGTGAAAAACTCTTGTTACATATACTACATGAATAAGGTTTCTCACCAGTATGAACATAACTGTGATGAGAAAGATTACTTCTGCTTGAAAAACTCTTATTACATATACTACAAGAATGAGGTTTCTCCCCAGTGTGAACACGATTATGTTCGTTCAGTTTACTTCTGTTTGAAAAACTCTTATTACATAAACTACAAGGATAAGGTTTCTCACCAGCATGAACATAACTGTGTTGAGTAAGATTACTTCTGTTTGAAAAACTCTTATTACATATAGTACAAGAATAAGGTTTTTCACCAGTGTGAACAAGACTGTGTTCATTCAGATGACTTCGATGTGAAAAACTCTTATTGCATAAACTACATGAATAAGGGTTCTCACCAGTGTGAACACGACTGTGTTTAGTTAGATACCTTTTTTGAGAAAAACTCTTGTTACATATATTACAAGAAAAAGGTTTCTCGTCTGTGTGAACACTACTGTGTTCCATCGTGTGATTAATATATGAAAAACTCTTGTTACATATACTACAAGAATGAGGCTTCACACAAGCATGAAAAGTACTATGCCTAGTCACATCACTCTTCAATAAGAAAAACTCTTATTACATTATACTACACACAAGAAAAATGTTTTTCACTGATATCGACACAACTGTATTCAGTCTCATTTTTTTTTGTAAAAAACTCCTAATACGTATATTACAAGAGTCAGATTTTTAACCAGCATGAGTTCGATTGTGGTCAGTTTGATGACTTTTCTATGAGAAACTCTGATTACATGTTTCGCAAGAATAATTTTTCTCACCAACTTCAAAGGTCATCGTATACTTAGTAATATTAGTATTTGTTCCAAGTCTCATGTATCACATTGAATAAAAATATGTGCCTTTACATAAAGTTGTTGTAGATAATTAATATCAAAAATGTTACTGAACTGTAATATTGCTTCTGCTTCAAATGCTAAGTTTATCAGAACAATTCAATTAAATTTCAATAAAAATTAATGCATATTTTTTAAAAAAAATATGATTTTCTGAATAAGAAGAAAAGCAGTTGAGACTGATTTTACATCAATTGAGACTGATTTTAATTTGCATATTATAGGTTGAGAGTTTGATTTTTCAACAAATATTTTATCATAAGCACAGAGATACGAAAGTTTGAAATTAGTGGGGACAAAAAATTTATTCAATATGCCTCATAAAATTTAGTTATCCTAACCTATTACTATTGTTAGTTGCTTAGCAGGCGAACAACATNCGCGCGCAGGTCGTCGGGCTACCGAAGCGGGGGTGGCATCCCCTCCGCGGAGGATCAAAATTGTGATGGCATGTCTTCGGATCATCCTCCGGGATGTTTCCCAGACCGTCGCCAATAGCCCATTGTGCAGCTCTAGTGCGACGTAAATTAACAAATAACAAACAAACAAGATTGGCGATCGATATGGGCTGCAGGTGGCGTAGAGCAGAACTCTCTGCCTATGGCAACAGATCGCATGTTTTCCCCATTGGCATGTGGGGCCTCCATGGCGGAGCGATATCGCGCGCCAAACGCTCTGCTAAGCGTGGAGGTGGCGGGTTCGAATCCTGCTGTAACCCTGGATGTAGTCTTTGTGATGTCCTTTTCTGTATTGTGCTATCTGTGTCTTTCTACTTGACAAAGGTTTATAAGCCTTAAAGAGTACACAAGCCTGCAAATGTATGTTATACCAATACCCAGTAGCGTGTGGAGAGCCATAGAGGTTGGAAGTACGTTGGTTTCTCTCTTGATTTTGATATAGATAAATATCTTTTAAGTTGGAAAACTATATGAAACTGAAAACTACATTACATTTAGTTCTAAAGAAAAGCATCACGGACATTTAGAAAAATAATTTTATTAAATAAAAAGGAAAAATATTAAATAAAGGGAAAATATCCTAGTATACATTCCTATACAACTGAAAAAAGGAGAAGGGCCAAAGGCATGGAACCGGTCTCCTCCCAGATGGCGTATTCGAGCGTTGCGATAGCCAATGGATGGTGTTTTCTACACTAGGGAACGCTGCAAGCTCGGTACCGCCTAAATCTCCGGGTTACTGTTTCCGTTGTATTTTAAAGCCATTTGGCATCATTGTGTTTTGAGATTCTTGCAAACAATGTTTTTAATTACTTATTACCTGTGTTTACAATGCTAAAAGTGTTA